GTAGATGATTTTAAGGACGAAATACTAAATGTCAATGTTCAATTAATTACAAATAGACATCAAAACTGAGTTCATAAAAGAGAACACGAATCTCCTGCGCGAAAGTTCACATATATAACAGAAAAAATATGGATTTAGTGTCTACAAGAGCAGCATGCTTCCAGCAATAAGGCAAACAATTATTCAAACTTTTCAAGGTGTTAATATAGTTAGAACTATATTATTTTGCCTCCAAAATAGGATATAAACATGAAAATCCGAAAATTAACACAAATATAAAATTATGATAGCATGAAACCAAACCATATAGAAAAAGTACCCGAGTGATTGAGTTTCTGTATATTGTCCCCAGGACCAAGTATTAACTGCTGTTAAAACATAAATCGCAATCAGGGCTTATATAATTGGAAGATAAATTGAGGAAAATTAAGCAAGGAATCGTTACAAAAAAGGAAATAAAATAAATCATCTGGAAATTTTGAAACCTGTAAAGGAATTTCCTTCCTTGTTTGCAGAGACGTGACTGAATGCATATATAGCCATTGAAGGAAACAAAAATCTTCTCATATCTGAGTTGCATCCATGATATTGTAATTTTCCATGCGAACACCTCGTTGCAAACAATAGAAAAATCAAATATTACCATAACTAATAAAATCTGCATCGTTTAAGAAAACAAAATTCACATAAAATATAAAATCAAATACTATCTTTACAAAGAAAAGTACAAGTTTTGCATACAAGGACCTGTCTTGACAAACTTAAGGCTGATATTGCTGAAGGAATGGACAAAGAATTGAGTAAATTATTCGCAGAAACGCAGAAAAATGTCAGATCAACATAGTTAGGTTAATATATTCTACTTTCTTCCTTAGATGGCCCTACAAAACCACAAATTTTCTGTTAATCAGAACAGTAACCAAACGTACCTTCCGAACTCCAACATAAAAAATTAGGCTCCACAGCTCCATAATATTGGTATATTTTTATTCGGATAAGGTAAAACCCAAAAAATGAAAAATAAAATTGGAAGAAGAAGAAGTATTAATTGCATAATTAAAATCACATCAAGGAAAATGAAAAAATAATAATAAAAATAAAAATAAAAATTTGTGGGTGCTAAACCTCTTCATTTTGCTGTAAAGACTTCCTTTTTCCTCACCCACATATGACCTCAAACTGTGAAATTTGTTAAGTGTTTTGTGGCCAAATGCAGCGGTATTTATGATGTTATAAATCAGCACTGAGGGACCTGTCGGTACTTTCGTGTCAAGTGGTGACGGTGGTGGCACAGCAGCGGCAGCAGTATATGGATAAGCTTCTAGTGCCATATCAAATGGCTATTGGCTAATATTTGCGGTCAGCTTCTGCAGGCGGCCTCTTGTCAGCATTTTTCACAGCAACTTTAGGCTGAATAAAGTGGGAAGGAGCCGGGAATACTGATAAAAAGCCATATATTAATCCAGAAAGGGAAAATCGAGAAGGAATTCTGACAGAAAGAGTAGTGAGCACGCGCATCCACAAAGGTATACTTTTTATACAATTGCCTGCGTGTGCTCACTCTCTTCTGTCAGTACTCTCGTCGATCGCGTCCTTCTGAAACACAAAACGCATAGGTTTCTTGACAGAGATGCTCTATATGTTTTTTCTTTTTGGCTAACATTAATATCAGATCTGAAAACCAAAGACACTCCCACTTTTGGAAAGAAAAACCCACAAACCCTTTACTTATACGCTCAAACAAATCATTTAACAACTAGGGTTTTAGAGTCCCCGTGTTCATACTTGATATTCGTAATTCATCTATTAATTTTTGTGTGCTAATAAAACCTACCCCCTCCCCCAAACCACCTCTTCCCAAGAAGGTCTGAATAGACGCTTTCATTTTCATTATCTTCATGGATCAAACTAATCAAGAAAACGCCATTCTCAATTTCCAAACTGTTGATTCGAGAACACACTTTTACAGAAGACCTTAAAGAAGTTATTATATCTGTGACATATGAGAACTTTTACTTTCTCCTCCACAACATAATTGTGGTTTGGCTATTATTCATCCAATCAATCGCTGCATCATCGTACACCAAAAGGACAATATCACATACAGGTGAGGTTTGAAGAAGGCTTTAGAAAGAGAGAGGTTTCGATGATAGATTGGTTGGTCAGGAGTATTTGAGGCTTCGTGGAGGTACAGCTTAATGTCGGATTAACTAGCTGGGTTAATCTAATGATAAGATTGTCACAGAGAAGAATTCTAACCCGTTGGATTAAATGGTTGGTGGGGCCCTTCGTTCTTGATGAATGGTTGTTATTGGAA